GGGGGGGGGCATTGGGGGGGCGGAAAGCCTGCCAATAATGAGCAGAATTTATTATGGTGAAGGCATCTGGGAAACTCTTATCTACTTTTGCCCAAAAAAAGTGATTTACTCCAACTAAAGATTACTGGCATTTTGAGAGTGTTTTATTTATGAAAATCTGTCATGGAATTGTAGCTATGTTACATTCAATATTTTGATAAGCTATTTTTAATAACTTACTTTAAAATATCTAAGTTCCTTTGAGCTTCTCCCATGTCTTTCCTTGGAAATCTGCCACTAAGTCCAATGTTAGGAGAAGCTGAGTAGGTCCTTCCAAGGAACCCAGCACATTGATTTCACTCTTCATTCCCAGCAATAGATCTCACTTCTCAATTTCACATGCTTTACAATTTTTTCAAGCCTCTCCACCTGTTCTTCCCTACTCATCATGAGTAGATGTGGTAGATGTCTTTGCCACTGACTTCTCTGAAACAAAGCTCATCTCTTGGATATCCACTCTAATTCCTGCCTCTTCTCCTGCCATCCTCTGCCAACAAAGGAACTCTGTTCTCTGGTCTTACTCCTGATTCAACTAGTCTAAAAATCCAATGTCCCTGTGTGATACACTTCTTTATCCTGTCTATTCAGACTTCTCTTCCATCTCAACTGCATCTTTTTCTACCTTGTCAATCTTAAAAATAAAGACAACTCTCTCTAGTTTCACGTGTTTCTCTCCTTGTAATCACTTGCTATATAGAGGCTATTTTCACTAATTGTTTTGACATCTTGACATCCATTTTTTCTACTCCACTTTGGATTCAGGCCCATCAGTTTACCAAAATAGTATCTATATTTCTCAACCTAACAGTTGTTTTTTACTAATTTTCCTTGATAGATCACCTGTTTTCACACAGCAACTTCAGAAATAATGTCTTCCTTTCCTTTCTGTGACATAAAAATCTCCTAATTTTCTTCTTTCTCTCTGGTTGTTCTTTGCAGACTGTTGTTTCTATCTTCTCAACTCAACAGTTAAATGTTCAGTTCTCAAGCATCAGTACTGAACTCTTTCTTTAGCTAAATGATGCCTGAATCTCATTTAATTTCTAACTTTAGTGAGCCCCATATATCAACATGTAAATTTATATCCCAACCTGAATCTATCTAGTTGTTTATGCTGATTGACAATGCTTGAACTATTAAGACACCTCCTTCTCCAGAAATCCTATACAAAATCCTCCAACCTTCTCCCCAAGTTTGTTATACTTCAACTAAATAGCCACACCATTTGCCCAAAAGCTCGCCCTAGACATCTAAGCAATAACCTTGAAGTCATCCATAGTTTACTTCTAATAACAAACAACCAAGTCTTGTTGACAATAATGACCACACTGTCAGCCACATACAATAGCAAGCAAAAAGGTGAATTACTTGAATCCTCACATCACTTCATTCCCTTTATAACCATCTAGTCCAAGCCACCATCTTGTAGATCTTAAATTATACTACATCCTCAGTGGCCTTACATTCACTGCCCGCCCCCCGACAATCTGCCTGTACTTGAAAAAAAAAAGACTGCCAAAATTCTAATCATATCACTATCTTTGTTCAAAATGTGTAAATGACATTCCACTGTTTAAGGAATAAAGTCCAAAAATTTAAGTGACTTGAGGTTTACATTTTCTGGTGTGTTCTCTTTGGCCTTACCTAGCATTGCTCTTCTCCTTGCTCATTTTACCATCTCTGAATGCACAGGGAACTTTCCTAACTCTCAGTTCCCTGGCCCTTCCTCCTGCCTTTTCCTCCTGTGATCCTTACCCCATCACTATTCTGTCTTGTAGCTATACTTCTTTCAGACCTCAGTTTACCTATAGGTTTCCCATCACAGGATTTCTGACCCACCGGTATTAATAAGGACCTCTCATTATATGCTCTCATGGATGCTAAGCTTATGGGCATTTTTTGCAACTTTATCTTACTAGTCACATGGCACACAGTGACCAGAAGACAGTAGATAGTTTGTGAAAACTTGCTGAGTGGTGAGATGAACATAAACATTTAGTTTATTTTAATAAGCATTTTAATAAATATTTCCACCAAAGTCAGATAAGTCATATAAAGTAAGTCCATTGCTCCATTTCAATATAAAAACTGACAATGAATATAACATGTCTGATATTCAAAACAGGCAATAGTAACAGAGGTAGCTATGATTCAGAAACACAATTGTAAAGTTAAACCTTAATATAGCTCTAGAATCATTTCTTAAAATTAATATTTTTACTTAAGAATGTATACTTGAAAATAATAAATATCAAGAAGTCTAGAAGGTCATGTATCAAAATATGAATACTTTATCCTCAGATTTCAAATGATTTCAACTGTACCTATTCTCCTTTAGGTTCATCTACATTTTCTCTTTGTTCTCCAAATCAGCATGTATTTGACAATATTAAAAACTAAAGTTCACAAAAATATAGCAAAAAAAAATTAATGGTATTTTTAGTTAATAGGTTTTATATTTTTAGAGCAATTGTTATTTTGCACTATTATTGCTAATTCTATTTTCACTGCTTTCAATTCCCTGCATTCTGCAAATGTTTCTTCCTTGCCTTAGATCACATGGCAACCTTGTTTCCTCCTTTCTTTCTATAGGTTTTTTTTTTTTTTGCCCAAACTTTAAATGTCATAGTTCTTCAAGGCTCAGTCTGGGTTCCTTTTTATTATTTTGGAAATACTCAATTATTTTGGAATATTAAGACAATAGAAAGTTTTCTTCACTTAAGAAATATATGTTTCATTTTTGAATTTCCTTTTGGTGATCATTTTTTCTGCCTTAACATTTCTTGAATATGCTGGTGGATGTCAGTAATGATGCACAGAGGAAAGCTATGTACATCTATGACTACCACTGAGAGAAATTACTGTCAGGAGCAATTAAGAATTCAGATATCCCGCCCTCCCTGGTGGCGCAGCGGGTTAAAACACAGCACTAAAGAGAGAAGCTAAAGCCACTTCCGCATGAGTTCTATTCCTGCCTGCCCGGAGGTGACCACATGGCATGGCAGACCTCTCCTGACGGGCCTGCTGCTCCCCTCAGCTGTGTACTTCGTCGATCTGCCTGTTCTGCTCCCCTCTCTGTCTTTGGTGAAGCCTCTAGCCTGTACCCCAGTTCTGTATGCACAAAAAAATAAATCTTTAAAAAAAAAAAGAATTCAGATTGCCAATTGTACCACACAGAAGTTTGGGACCATGTTGAAGTCATAAAGAGTTCTTCTGCCTTTGAGTTGTCCACAGAATGAGAGATGAATAGAAGTAGGGATGGAGAATATCAGGAGTGGAGTAAGGAAAATGAATAACCAGTCTCCTTTGTCCTACTTCTCCAAGTGACTGTTTCTTTTTTCCCCAAATACCTTTTAAAAATACATATTATATTACACTCACTAAAAATAGGTAGGCAAAAGATGAAACAAAAATTGTCTATAAACCTAGCACCCCTAACAGTTAGATAGCCCCCTAGACTATAACAATAATTTGAATTTATTTCTACATGAATGAGAGTATATACTTTATTATCTTTTTATTCTTTTTAAATTAATTTATTTCATTTTTAAAATAACTTTTCTGAGTCTACAATATGAACTTAAATATGTATGACTATGTATTATAAAGGTAAGACTGTCTAATAGTTGCTGACCAAATTAACCTCATCAGGACCCACAATTTCAGTTCTAAATTGTATCCAAATTGGATTCCAAATTACAATTCAGTACAGTTTTAGTGCAGCCATCACCTTTCCATAAACAATGAAGTAAGCTTTTCCCTTGAGAAAAATTCCCAACTAAAGAGAAAACTGCCTCGTCAAAATTTCATATTCTCTCTTTTGCTTTCTAGTCCTTATGGCCTTAATTTTAGAAAATACATAGATTATGGCCGATATGGATGAATTTTTATTGCCAATTCTGATGAAATTTTTATTATATATCAAAATATATCAAAGTCTGATAGAATTATTAAACTATAAACAGTGCTCAATTTATTCATGTAAACAGATCAGTATTGCTCATTTTAATGCTTCTTTAATGCTTTTTCACTTTAACTGTAGTCAGTCTTTTAAAAATGTACATTTTTGAAACTCAAATTAAATACCCAGAGTATTACTTTAGCTAACTGCTTCTTTCATTAATAATTTTCATGAAGATATATAGCCACACTGAAAAAAGCACTATAATTTAATGTGATTACTACATTATTTATATAAAAATCATACTAAAAATCAAGGTATAAAAAGATTATAACATGGTATCAAATTGCATGGTTTATAAATTTCTTTAAAAATACTTAAGCAATTATAGAAAATTCTGGAAAGGATAACAGTAGTTTCTGTAATTCTCCATCTTTTCTTGAATAATTAATTTTCACAGGCATAAATGCTAAATTTAATTTTTAAAATGCCTTAAAACTCCTTTTAACACATTATTTTCTAAACATGAAAATGTACATGATAAAGCATTTCACATGATTTAGGAACTTTAAGTTGTTTCTGTAAGTAAAGCTGTTATACTTATTTAAGTGAATCCAAGTGCCATTCCTGCTAAAATATAAATTATGACATTAGAAAATATAATAAACATCTTGTAATTAAATGTATGTAAACTTTAACAATAAGAATACAGCACTTAATTTTGAAAAATATAAACATAGAGGACACCAGTGTGACTTCCTTGTAATTTCTTTTGCTGTCCTACATGTACTTAGGGATAACAATTTAGACAGTTCATTCAAACATCACTTAAAACCTTAATTGCCTGCAAGACACTTTTAAAAGACACCCTAACTAATTGGAAATCTGGTGTCACTTTATATACCTGTGCAGTATAAGAAGTATTGTACTTACCATTCTGTTGGAAGGGCCGGGTCCTTTGACAGAAATTCTTTGCTAGCAACTTGATACAGCTTCTGACCCAGTGCGGTGCAACAGGACATAGTTAGTGCAGTCTTATTTACATATCATGCAGCCAAGATTAATAATTCAAAGTCCAAGAATAATTCATTCAAACCTCTAAGTCAGATGCTCAAATAGGGGAACTTCCTGAGATATAGAGACAAATTACTCGTCTCGTGGAAACACTTTGAACAACTTCTGTTGAAATGATTTTAGCTCAATATCAAAACAAAAAGAAACTCTCATTTCCATGCTTATTTGCATATTCAATGAGGAAAAATAAGGACTTTTTATGATAGCAATTCAATTGCTCCTGATCTGCATTTTTCAGATTCACTACTTTTGAAGCAATTTATATTAAGCATATACAATCTAAACAGCTGTTTGAGGGAGCTATAAAACTGAAATTTTGGAGACAATCTGCGTGTCTCCAAAACGATACCAGTATTTTGGCTATGTCCCATTTTATGTTAGGTGATTAGAACAAAGAGATACATAACACATCCTGTAGCTGTGAATCAGGAGAGAGATAAGTAACATCACTTCAACAGATGGCAACTAACTAACACATCCTGATCAATGTCCTGCCCAACACCTGAAGTATATTACCACCACCGTGGATCCAAAGCACACCTGGATTTTTCTGAGGATTATATTAGATTCACAGCCTTGTTTTTCAAGTATTCAAGTAAATACTTGGTCTGTTAATTTAAGTCTAGGGAGAAAGTCCCTAATTCATACATCCTGATCAATGCCCTGCCCAACACCTGAAGTATATCACCACCACCTTGGTCTGAAGCACACCTGGCTTTTTCTGAAGACTATATTAGATTCATAGCCTTGATTTTCAAGTATTCAAATAAATATTTGTTCTGTTAAGCTGAAGTCTAGGGAGAAAGTCCCCAATGAGAAAATGGTGATTATTTAATCCCAATGCCATAAAAGTTGTACCCAAACCTAGGAAGTTAATTTACTTTATATACATGCACACATGTGTATATACATACATAATGTATATACACATGTGAATATATACATATAAAATGTATGCATTTATGTGAAATAATGTCTATAATTCACTGTCATTTTTCCAGTGAGCTAGGTACTGTGCAAAGTACTTTTATACACAGAAAACTTATAAAAATCCTTGAGGTAATTATTATTATTTTTTAAAGATTTATTGATTTATGCACACAGACTGGAGTGCAGGGGCGGTGAGAAGCTTCACCAGAAACAGAGTAGGGAGTAGAACAGTCCCACTGACGAAGTACACTACTGAGGGGAGCAGCGGGCAGGTCAGGAGAGGTCTGCAATGCCATGTGGATCACCTCCAGGGTGGGGATCGAACTCATGTTGAAGTGGCTTTATCTTCGTAGTGCTGTGCTTTAGCCTGCTGCACCACCAGAGAGAGCCCCAAGGTTATTAAACATTTTCTCACTTTACAGAGTGAAACACTGAGTCTCAGTGAGATTAATTAACTTTCCTGAAGTCACAAAACCAGTAAGGGAAGGAACTCAAGTTTAAACAGAAATATTGTGATTCACCTGTGCTGCTTCCTGGCTACCTCCAAGACTAACAGTATCTGTGTATACACAGCAGAGGAACTCAAAGTCCAAGAATTATTGTTTTGTTTTGTTTTATTTTCTCATTAATGCAGCTCTTTCCGACTTTTAGAAGGAAGAAAACATAAAATATACTTTGTCTATAATTTTGATAGGTCAAATAGCAAAGGGTGAGATGACTAGGCTTATTCACCACACCCTCCAAACAGGTCTAGGCACTGGGATGCATTTCACATGTCTAGCCACCATTTTAAAGGGAGATAAGGGTGATTCCCTTTGTGGGCTGATGAAAGATCCCCAGAGCTTCCTCTTTCTTCTCCCACACCCTAACTACCAACTTACTGTGGGCTGCTAAGATGAAAAGTGGTCTCTACTTCTCCTTTCTTATAGCGCACACAATCCAGAAGTGTCTAGCTTTTCACCAAATCTTACTTCACCAATGGTCCTATTGCTTCAGGTGTTCTTTTTTTCACTCTTAAGATTATTTATTTATAAACACAGAACTGGGGTACAGGCCAGAGGTGCAGGGGCGGTGAGAAGATTCACCAGAGACAGAGTGGGGAGCAGAACAGGCAGCCCAATGAAGTACACTACTGAGGGGAGCAGAGGGCGGGTCAGGAGAGGTCTGCCGCGCCATGTGGGTCACATCTCGGGGTGAGGATCGAACCCATGCTGAAGTGGCTTTAGATTCTTAGTTCTGAGCTTTAACCTGCTGCGCCACCAGGGAGGCCTAAAGCAAAAGTCATTTTAAAAAAATGAACTTGTGTATTATTAGTTTGAGCTCTAGTAACTATTTCTTGTTTACATATAGTTCAAAATGGCATGCTGCACTTCTTCAAAATATACAATTGTTACTGATAAATACCTAGACTACTGATATCCACCTTGGCTGTGTATGCCCTATGAGAATCCCTCATGTACCCACTGGGGTCTGGGGCCGCCGGCATAGATACTGTCACCTGGGAATGCTCTAGAGTCTCACTGCAGAAATACATTCAGAACACCTGGGCGGAGCGAGGTGGCCTGCCATGACAGCTGCAGCCCTGCCTGTCATGCCTCCTTCATTTTACTTAACCAGAAGCAAATAGGACAGCCCTTAGGAATTATCAGTGCTGAGATTCTGCACAGATGCTTGTTAGGTGATTACTTGTACTTCAGCATTCTCAAAATAAAAATCATAATTTAATAAGGACAGAATAAATGATGGGGGTAAATGTCTTGAATCAGGGACAGAGTGATGAAGTCTAAGGGGGAAACAAGAAGATATTGTTAGTATTTAAGCTGGATGGTAGACAACCAGGTACTCATGTCCCTCTTCTTCTGTGAGTGACCCCATATATCTATCAGTTTTGTTCCATTCGATGGAATGTTTCATTATAAAGGTTTTCTATTTTATTTTATTTTATAACAGTTTATTTTACATTTTTACATTTTTTTTTCCATCTCAATTGTAGTCCCCGTGGGTTTCCCATCACCAAAGTCATCCGTGTGCCATCAGTTTCAGGTGTTCTTAATGGAGAAAGTGGAATGATTGGGGACAAGGTCTTTGGCACAAGGGCTCCAATATTGCTGCTCTTTTCTTACACTGAAGCTTTTTGTCAGGTCTATAGAAGGATAGCTGCATGGAGTCGAGGCCAAATTCAGTTAGAGGTTTCCTGAACTAGTGCTGATAATGGATTAACGATCTACTGTTACCTAATTGAAATTCTTAAGAATTTCACAAAAAATTTCACAATTTTTTTATTTTGCACTGGGCTCTGTGCAAAGTCTTGCTTGTGAGAGTATAACTCTTCCAGGAAATGATTTTTTATTCAACACATTTCTATGGGACAAGGATTTTGACTTTTTAAATTATTATTTTGTTTCTTTTTGTTTTAGAAACAATGTGACGTGTTGAAATTTGTGATTTGAAGAGCAAATTTTCAAGTGAAAATTTGAAAAGCAGACAAGTTTATAATGTAATTTACCATCTATGAGGTAATATAACTGGATTTTTAAAAGAATGGGCCCTAGAGTCAAACTAATTCCTTTCTTATCTTGACTGCACCACTAATAATAAGGTCTCAGTTTTCTAATCTGTAAAGAAGGGATAAAAGTGCCAGTCTCATAGTTTACATATGCAATGTATTAGACAGGATACTATAGTGTACAGAATAGGTATATATCAACTGCTAAATAAAGAGATGTTTATAACAAAAAGGAAGACTGCTTTAGCATAATCATATCAACCCAATGCCATTAAAATTATATTTGCTTCTTGGAGCCTCCCTGGTGATGCAGCAGATTAAAGCACAGCACTAAGAAGCCAAAGCCACTTCAGCATGAGTTGAATCCCCTGTCCTGGAAATGACCCACATGGCGTGACAGACTTCTCCTGACCCACCTGCTGCTCCCCTCAGCAGTGTACTTCATAGATCTGCCTGTTCTGCTCCCCACTCTGAATCCTCTCACTGCCCCTGCACCTCTGGCCTGTACCCCAGTTCTGTATGCGTAAATAAATAAATCTTTTTTAAAAAAATTCTATTTGCGTCTCAGAAATATTCATTTAAAATGATTTTTTTCCTTCATCATCACAATCCAAGTTTATTATACACACACACACGTTGTGTATGACTGTGCATCATTCTTCATTTTTAAAAGTATAATGTACGCTTTCTCCTCTCAGGTGTAGTCCCATAAAATTCCCACCACCATCATCATACATCACCACCACAGTCCTTTTTGCTCTTTCTTCCCCTGTTTTGATCTTTCTCCCTCTTCCTCCCCTGCTCTGATTTATAGCTGCATTTTGATTCTTAATTTATTATAATGATACTTTTTCCTGATCACTTATTTGATTTCTCTACCATCCTCTTCTAAGTGAAACCATCCAATATTTTTCTTTTTCTTTCTGGCTTATTTCACTAAGCATTATTCCTTCCAGCTCCATCCATGTTGCTGCAAATGGCATGAGCTTACCCTTTTTATGACTGAGTAATATTCCATCATTTATATACCACCATCTTCTTGATCCAGTCATCTATTTTGGGGCATTTCGGCTATTTCCATAATTTACCGAAAAAAAGATCTTATAAAAGCCAGGATAGTGAAAATGTTACCTCCACCTTTTATTCCCTGTATACCCTTTGAAAAGATGACAAAACTTGGTTTTCTCATTTGGAAAAGGGAATAAAAAAATAATATTTACCTCATAGACCTATAATGTTGATAATATCATGTGAGAAATATATGGAAATGCAATTATTTAGGAATGCAAGAGCAGTTCATGTAAACCAGGAACACTAACAAGAAATTTAAGAGAAAAACAACAAGTAGAAAAAAACAAAAGATTAATGAAAGCCAATGTTAATAATAATTAACTTTTAATAGTGTTTCTGAGCACTTTAAGGTCATAGTGTGTATGTTAATTCCTGTAGCAAGGAT